AATATTGTAATAACTATGTATGGTGTCAGATGGGTACTAGATTTATCGGGGTGATCACTTTCAAGTTATATAAATGTCTAATCACTATGTTGCACGCCTGAAACTAACAATATTATACATCAGCTATAATTGAAAAAAAATATTTTAAAAAATTATGTCAAGGCAGAGATGTAATTCATAATAGTAGTAGTAATACTAATAATAGGAAACATTTTTAATACTTACTTTATATTAGGCACTATTCAAAACACTTTATATGAATTATCTAATCATCACAACAACCCCAAGAGGCTGTGTAAGATGTTAGTGTAAGACCGACATCTTTCGTATGAAGGAGTAAGATGAAAAACCTCTGTTAAGCAATTCAACTCTGTCCCAACTTGCAAACCTCACTGTAGCAAAATAAAGGTAAATAACTGAACTCATTCTCTTTAGAAGACAGTAGAGAGGTAATCTGTTATAACTGAACATGACACTTGAACATCTCACGCCCCCATCTACCCACCCACCCCACACTTACCCCATAATGTTCTCCTTGAAAAAGTTTTCGATAAATATGTTTTTTTTTCCTTTTGTCAGATTAGTACCCTTATAAATTGGCACCCTTGATAACTGCATGTCTCACCACCACATTGAGTTTTGAGGTAGATGCTGTGTGTAATCCCTGTTTTACTGATGAGGAAACTGAGAGCCAGGCAACTTGAGTAATATGCTATATCAGTCCTTTTATTGCTGTGTAACAAATTATTACAACTTAGTTTTTAAAAGCACATTTATTATCTCTTAGTTTCTGTGGGTCATGAGTCTTGCACAGCTTAGCCGGGTCCTCTGCTCAGGGTCTTACAAGCTGCAATCAAGGTGTCAGCTGGGCTACATCCTAACCTGGAGCTCTAGGTCCCCTTCCAAGCTCACATGATTGTTGACAGAATTTAGTTTCTTGCATCTGTATGATAGATGTCTTGTTTTCTTGCTAGCTGTTGACCGTAAATTGCCTTCTGCTCCAGAGGTCATTGCCACATGACCCTTTCCAGTGACTCTCCCACAACGTGGTAGCTTATTTCTTCAAGGCTGGCAGGAGAACCGCTGACCTTAAGGAAGGCACTAGACTCTCTTTTAAAGAGCTTACCTGATTAGGTTGGGCCCACACAAGGTAATCTTTCTTTTTATTAGTTCAGAGTCAGCTGATCAGGAGCCTTAGTTACATCTGGGCAGTCCCTGTTGCCATACAATGCAACATAATCACATGATTATCATCTCACCATATTTACAAGTCCTATGCACACTCAAGGGGAAGAGAGAATAGAGGGTGAATACACCAATGGGATGGGAACCTTGGGGACCATCTTAGAATTTTGCCTGCCAACATGCATAGTCACCCATCGGCCAATTGGAAAAGCAGTGTTCTCTTTAAGCAAAGCATGCATCAAAATCATTAAGTTGTAGTACCTCTCACAAACATAAGTAATTGCTAACAATTGTCACCCCAATAAACTTTAATTTAAAAAAACATAAGTTAACTACCAAAAACAAATTTAAAATATTTCAAGTATCTGACTTTTGCAAATTATTTAACAATCAGTATCATTAAAAGAAGTTTTGGCTGTGTCAATACCTAAAAGTGTACATATATAAATATGTTAAGGAACAAATATGATAATATGAAATAAAACACGCTCTCTATTTTTGTTAATAATACATGTATTAGAAAATATATGATAATGTAAAATCCTTGATTTAAGTTTCTGGGCCTTTAAAAATTTGTCATTTTTAAAGTATAATGATTCTATAAAAAGATAGTTTACCATACAAAATAGCAGGTGATAAATGTTAAATGTTTATGTTGACAGTAAATGCTACAGAAGTTCAGAGTTGGGAAGATTAATGTGGACTAAAGTTTCTCTTTAGTTGTAAAGTAGGTTAATTTTTTTATGAGGTAGTTTATCATAAATTTCACCCTAGGATTGGTTCCTTTTCTGTAGCTTGTAATCTTAGTGGCATCTGTTCAGTATACAGGGTTGCATGTCGTCTTTGAAGAGGACCAAATCTTCTTCCCAGGTGTGGCTCATTCTCATTTAAAGAGAATTGCTTTAGAAACTCAAAATCTTAAGAATCATTGTAATAGCACTCTTTTATCATAGGATAGGAAACAGTGTTCCTATATATTTCTGTTAATTGACATTTTTTTACCAATCAGTTCATCATTTTCAGTTATTGCAAAGTAAATTAGTGGGATTTTTTTCCCCCTTTCTGCTAGGGATCTCAATTATTTATTCATTTGATGTCTCTAGTATAGGTAAGCACCTCAATTGTTTATGAATTAGTTCTTCTCTAAAACGAAGTTGTGGTAGACTGAATAATGTTCCCCTGAAATATGTCAGTGTCCTAATTCCTGGAACCTGTGAATGTCATTTTATATGGTAGAAAGGACTTTGTATGAAAAGAGACTTCACAGATGTGATTAAGCTAAGGACTTTGAGATGAGGAAATTATCCAGGATTATGTGGGTGAGCCTGAAATAATCAAAACAGTCCTTAGAAGAGGGATACAAGAATCAGATATCCCATGATACAGACCAGTGGTTCTCAAGGTGTGACCTCAGTAGGAGCATAAATAAGCATTACCTGGTAACTTCTTACAAATGCAGATTCTTCAAGTCTATTCTAGACTTAACTGAATTGGAAACTGCAGGTAAACCCCAGCAATTCACCCCTTTTATCAGACCCTCCAGGTGGTTCTGATACATGTTAAAGTTTGGGAATCACTGACCTAGACTAGGTTTTGCTCTCCCTGATAGAACAGCCTTGAGGCTAAAATACTAGGAAAGCTCACTCTATTGTCCTGTCAAAGGTAATTTGCAACTGCTTCCTTTCTGCCTGAGTTTTATCAGACTATAATCACTTGAACCGCTTAATTGAAAAATCACTTATGTTTATAGCTGAAATGAAATGTTTTGTATTTAAATAACCACTTTTGATTAGAATCATATTTTGTAGAAAGTGGTTGGTTTTAGCTGTGTTCTATAAAGATATTTATAAAAACTCATCAAATTTCTAGCGGTAACTAACATCCTATTCAGTATAAGGTGAGATGTTTTACATCAAATCTCATACAGTGTAATGACCAATCAGAGGGCATTTCAAAGGGTATTTAAGGTGGCTAAATGGATTTCTTGGCTTATTATCCAAAATTAAACAGTTTAAGACATTAACATTTAATGCTTTTGCCTCTTCTCAAAGTTGATTTTATGTAACCCTCATTATTTGCAACTCCTGGAATCTTGCCTAAGCAACAAGTAGCAACACTTTCTTTTATTCATCCTTAGGAATTTACTGAAATCTAGATTGTTTGAAAATGGGCTTAGCTTTGTGGTACATGTCTGTTTAGCTGTGTAAATACTATCATTTATTTAAGACAAAACAACAGCCTTGTTTTGGTAAGATTATATGATTGGTTTCTAAAAAGCCAAAAGAAGGAACTCGTTTCATTGTGCTTTTATTTGACAACGGATCTTGTGGTTCCTTTCAGGCATCCAATAGGAAAAGCATTCTCCAGTCTTCGTCTATGGAACTGGATGGTTCCTACTTGAGTGTAGCCAAACCACAAACCTACTATCAAACCGAGCAAAGGCCTAAGCCTGCAAACCAGGACTCCGTTTCAGAACCCCTTGTGGAGTTCAGGAATAATTCTTTCAAACCGGCAGCCTTTCATTATCCCAAAGAGGATCTACACAGGGAACCATCAGAAACCAGAACATATCATTATGTCTCCCCAGGGAAAAAACTAGTAGGTGCAGTCCCTACAGAGAAAGTTCCACCAGAGGAATTGAAGATGAGGGAAGGCCAACACCTTAAGCCTACTCCGTCCAGCCTGTGTTGTCACAAACTTTCTGAAAATGCAGATCCTGTTCATGTTAGCCATCCTACAGACGCGGCCCCTCAATATTCCGAGACACATCGGGAATCGTGCCGTTATTGTGGACTTTCCTGGGCATCTCTGATGCATGGCCAAGGGGCATTGCAACCTGGTGAAACTGATTTCAAAAAGCAGCTCTCAGAAGATAGAAGGAAGCAACTTATGCTTCAAAAAATGGAACTGGAAATTGAAAAGGAGCGCCTTCAGCACCTCCTGGCCCAGCAGGAGACAAAGCTTCTCCTCAAACAACAGCAGCTTCATCAGTCTCGACTAGATTACAATTGGTGAGTCCCACCTGCCCTTTCAACAGTGTTTGTAGCTTGGAGAACACAGTATGAAATGACTGCTGTGTTGCTATAATATGAGATACGGAGGAACAGAGGTTTCTCGGGATCTTGGCTTGCTCAGAATGCATACCAACTATGACTACTGTGTGAATCCCACTGTCATCTTTGGAAGACTTGAAAGATTACCTTGTCTTCCAAAATGTTAGCTTAGAATATTTACTTAGCAGTCCAGTATAATTTTGCCACATTCCAAAGACAGTGTTTTTAAATGATACTATCATAACACAAAATCCTTTGCTGTTTGATGTCATTGTAGAGAATATTAGGCTTTAAGTAAAAGCTTGAGGTTTCAGAATGTGGAATCAAACGGTAAAGAAGTGTGATTAACTGTCATCATTCCATATTCATGTCTATGCACCATAATATAAAATATAATAAATGATGGGAGCCTTCTAAATTCAACCTTTTTCCTGTTCAGTAACCAATTCTTATAGACTTACACACACTTAAATTGTTCTTCCCTTAACAATTCTTCCCTAAGAACAGTGTTTCAGGAACTATTTAAATTGCTATTTTGATATTATATAGCTTAGCATGGTTTTACATGGAGAGACATAAAATTTGCTGTAGTAATTTATTAAAGCAAAATTAGTAGTAAATCAGATGCAATTATATTTGAAGCACAGTAAAATGTACCACTTACATCTTTAAAAAAGAAAATTTCAAGTTTTCATAGTGAAGTTTATATACTGGGGGTGCCAAAATAATGTATACACATTTTAACAAAGGAAAAAACTGTGTTAAAATTGTAATACTCAATATATGCCGATAACAAAAGATGAATACAAGTCACGTTTGACTTCTGCAATTACAAGAGGTGCTCAAAGTGGTTACCATCAGCGTCCAGACACTTCGGATTACGACAAACTACTGCTTGAGCATAGATAACATCTCTTAAAATATGTATACTTTTTTTGGCACCCCTAGTATATTTATATATAAATCTTCTTTATTCATCTGTTGACAGACATTTAGGTTGTTTCCATATCTTAGATATTTTGAATAATGCTGTAATGAACATGTCAGTGCACATAACTTTTCAAGATAACTAATTTTGTTTCCTTTGGATAAATACCCAGAAGTAGAGTTGCTGGATCATATGATAATTCTATTTTTTAACTTTTTGAGGCACTGCCATACTGTTATCCATAATGGCTGTACCAACTTAAAATCCTACAAAAATGTATAGGGGATTCATTTTTTTCCACATTTTCCCAACACTTACCTCTTGTCCTTTTGATCAAAGCCATCCTAACAGGTATGAGGTGATATCCCATTGTGGTTTTGATTTTCATTTCCCTGATGATTAGTGATGCTGAACATCTTTTCATGTACCTGTTAAGCATTTGTATGTCTTTTGAAAAATGTCTTTTCAGGTCCTCTGCCCATTTTTTAACTGGGCTTTTGTTTTGTTGGTTTGGTTTTTGCTATTGAGTTGTATAAGCTCCTTATATATTTTGGATATTAATCCCTTATCAGATATAGGGTTTGCAAATATTTTCTCCCATTCCATAGGTTTCCTTTTCATTTTGATAATTGTTTCCTTTGCTGTGCAGAAGCTTTTTAGTTTGACGTAGCGCCACTTGTTTGTTTTGCTTTTTTGCCCAAGCTTTTGCTGTTGTATCCAAAAAATTATTGCCAAGACCAATGTCAAGTAGCTTTTTCCCCATGTTTTCTTGTAGTAGTTTTACAGTTTCAGATATACATTTAAGTCTTGAATCCATTCTGAGTTGATTTTTGTGAGTGGTGTAAGATAATGATCTAATTTCATTCTTTTGCATATGAATATCCAGTTTCCCCAACACCATTTATTGAAAGGACTGTCCTTTCTCTATTGTATGTTCTTGGTAACGTGATCAAAGGTTGGTTGACCACATATTCTTGGCTTTATTTCTGGACTTTTCTATTTTATTTCTATGGCCTTGATGTCTGTTTTTATGCCGTTACTGTTTGATTATACTATAGCTCTGTAATATAGTTTAGAATTATGAAGTGTGATACCTCCAGCTTTGTTGTCCTTTCTCAGGGTTGCTCTGGCTATTTGGGATCATTTGTAGTTCTATACGAATTTTAAGATGTTTTTTTCTAATTCTGTGAAAAATGCCAATGAAATATTGATAAAAATTGCATTGAATCTGTAGATCACTTGTGGTAGTATGGACATTTTAACAATATTCTTCCAATCTATGAATGTAAGGTATCTTTGCATTTATTTGTGTCTTCCTCAGCTTCTTTCAACAGCATCTTACAGTGTACAGATCTTTCATCTCCTTGGTTAAATTTATTCCTAAGTATTTTAATTTAGCTTGATCCAATTGTAAGGGATTGTGTTCTTGTTTCTTTTTCAGATAGTTCAATGTTTGTGTATAGAAATACAGCTGATTTTTGCGTGGTAATTTTGTATCCTGCAATTTTAGTGAATTTGTTTATTAGTTCTAACAGTCTTTTTGGTGGAGTCTTCAGGGTTTTCTATATATTAGGTTGTGTCACCTGCAAACAGAGACACTTTTACTTTTTCCTTTTCAGCTAGGATCCTTTTATTTATTATTCTTGTCTAATTGCTCAGGCTAGTACTTCCAGTACTATGTTGAATAAGAGTGGCAAGAAGGGTCATCCTTATCTTTTCCTGATCTTAAAGGAAAAGCTTTCAGCCTTTCATCATTGAGTATGATGTGATCAGCAGGCTTGTCATATCTGGCCTTTATTAGTTAAGTTACATTCCTTCTACACCCAATTTCTTGAGGCTTTTATCATGAAAAGATATTGAATTTTGCCAAATACATCTCTGCATCATTGAGATGATCATATGATTCTTCTCTTTTATTCTGTTAATGTGGTGGATATATTTTGGAGTATTTTGTTGAGAAATTTTACATCTATAGTCATTAGGAATATTGGCCTGTATTTTTCTTTTCTTGTAGTATCCTTATCTGGCTTTGGTATCAGGGTAGTGCTGGCCTTGTAAAATGAGTTAAGTACTGTTTCTTCCTCTTTGATTTGTTGGAAGAATTTAGAAGGCTTGGCATTAATTCTTCTGTAAATGATTGGCAGAATTCACCAATGAAACTATTTAGTACTGCACTTTTCTTTCTAGAGAGGTTTTTAGTTACTGATTTCATCTTCGTAGTCTCTGTTGGTCTGTTCAGATTTTCTGTTTCTTTATGACTCATTCTTGATAGTTTGTATGTTTCTAGGATTTTATCATCTCTTCTACGTTATCCAATTTTTTGATGTGTAATTGTTCACATTTTCTTATGATCCTTTGTATTTCTATGGTATGAGTTGTACTGTCTCCTCTTTCATTTCTGATTTTATTTAATTGAGTCTTCTCTATTTTTTCCTTAGTTTTGCTAAAGGGTTTGTCAACTTATTTGCTCTCTTCAAAAAACAGTTCTTTAATTTTTTCTATCAGTTTTCTGATCTCTATTTCATTTATTTCTGCTCTGATCATTGTTATGTTTTCTTTCTGCTAACTTGAACCATAGTTTGTTCTTTTTCTAGTTTTTTGAGGTATAAAGTTAGGTTGTTTTTGAGAGCTTTCTTTGTTTTTAATGTAGATATTTATTGCTTTAAACTTCCCTCTTAGAAGTGCTTTCTCTGCATCATATAAGTTTTGGTGTATTTTGTTTCTATTTTCATTTGTTTCAAGATATTTTTTGATTTCCCTTTTGATTTATTCTTTGACTCATTGGTTGTTCATAAGTGTGTTGTTTAATTTCCACTTATATATGAATTTTCCAGTTTTCCTCCTATTACTGATTTCTAGTTTCTCGCCATTGCGGTTGGAAAAAAATTCTTGGTATGATTTCAATCTTCTTAAATTTTTAATATTTTTTTTTTGCTTAGCATGATCTCTCTGGAAAAATATCCTGTTTACATCTGAGAAGAATATGTATTCTGTTCCTATTGGATGGAATTCCTGTATATGTCTGTTAGGTCTATTTGGTCTAAAGTATAGCTCATGTCCAATGTTTCTTTAATGTCTGTATGATCTACCTTTTGTTGAAGTCCCCTACTATTATTATATTGTTGTCTATTTTTTTCTTCACATCTGTCAGTATTCAGGGTCTCAATGTTGGGGGCATACAGATTTGCATTTGTTGTAACCACTTGATGAATTGACCCCTTTATTATTCCATAATAATTTTCTTTGCCTCTTTTTACAAGTTTTGATTTGTCTATTTTTTCTTATATGAATATAGGTACCTTTGCTTTCTGTGTTTATCTACCTATCTGTGTCACTACCAAATGTTATTATTAAACTCTAAGTTTCTAGAGGATAATTAATTGACACACTTCTCTTTGTATGTCATTGTGTAGAGCTGCAATTGTAGAATATCTTTTGACAACTGTGGAAATGATAATACTATTTTAACAATATTTTTACCTCTTTATGGTTTTATTTCATAGTTAAGAATATGGTTTTATGGATTTCATTTCTAAAAATGAATGCAAGAACATTTCTAAATAGTACTGAGCGAATGGGTAGTAAGGGTCACATATTTGGTGCCAGCAAATAATTGACACCCAAACCCCTGGTAGAAGAACTTCATGCTAAGGTTTTTTTTGTTTTTTTGTTTTGTCTTGTTTTGTTTTAAGATTTTATTGGGAAATTGGGGAAGGGAACAGTGTTGGGGAATTGGGGAAGGGAACATTGTGTTTTTCCAGGACCTATCCACTCCAAGTCAAGTTGTTGTCTTTCAATCTTAGTTGTGGAGGGTGCAGCCCAGCTCCACGTCTAGTCTCCACCTTCAATCTAGTTGCGGGGGTGAGGGGGGGGGCGCAGCCTACCCTCCCATGCGGGAATCGAACTGGTAACCTTGTTGTTAAGAGCACGCACTCTAACCAACTGAGCCATCTGGCTGCCAGTCGGCAGCTCACAGCCACTCAGCTCAAGGTGCCTTGTTCAATCTTAGTTGCAGGGGAGTGTGTGTGGGGGGGCGGGGGCAAAGTCCACCATTCCATTCCGGAGTCAAACTGCCCCAATTGACAGGAGCATGCACTCCCACCAGCTGAGCTATCCGGCTGCCCTTTGGCAGCTCAGTGGCAGCTCAGCTTGGGCGCAGCTCACTGTCCCATGTGGGAATCGAACCGGCCACCCTGTTGCTCAGAGTTCACGCTCTACAACTGAGCCATCAGCTGTCCCCATTCTAAGTTTTTAAATTGCTTTCCTTCCTCAGTACATTGAAGGTGGGGCTAACTTAATATTGATGAATAGAATTTCTTCCAGTTCTTGGAGGGGAATTTTTCTGTGACCCAGATAAAATGTTGGTTAGTGAAATGTAGCCCCAGCTTTTTAGATTGTCAGTATGAGAAGTAAGTGCCACTTATGGATATTTTGGACAGGGTCAGTTATACTTAGTGTTACTAGAATTTCCATTTAGACTCTAGCTTAGCAATGGATAGGAGAAGCATTAAATTTCTAGAGAGGAGATTTAAAGTGCTTCTAAAGCATCTATAACGTTGAGATTTTAAATGATATTCTAAACAACTCAGTCTTCCCCTACTCTATAAATAAAGGAAATTTAAATTCTGGTGAAACTGGTTTGTGTTTATGTGTATTTAGAAAGTACCCATTTATTTTTGACAGACTGAGTTTTAATTTAAAAATAGTTGCTGGGGGCCTAGACGGAAGAGAATGGTCTTTCAAGGGTTACCATTCAGTTTCTTAGATTCCATTGCATTAGACATTCTTTGAATTCATTTTTACAGGTTAAGAACTCAAGCTGTGTTTAAATCAAGAGAAATGGTTGCTGATAAAGAACTTACTCAGCCCCAAGAGCTCAATCTGGATATGAATGGGAGTGACACTGGACCAAGGTAAACTTAAATGGTGTGTCAAGGCAAGAATATGTGGGATACAGATATTAAGGATATGTTTGGTGTATATATATATATTGGTGAGTCCAGTTTTCTGATTATATGAATACATACAGTCTAATTATAAAATTTCAAAATATATAGAAAAGTATAAAAAAGAAAAAAAAATTATTCAGTCTTCCATTCAGAGACAATACTTTGAGCCCTTTTCCCTTTCTATCTTTCTTTTATAATTATATATTCTATATTGAGTAATACATATTAATACAGATAAATGCTTATACAGGATTCTATTTTTTGCTTTTTCACTGGGCCATATTTTCTGATGTTATTAAATTTTTATGAAAACAACTTAATTCATTCAACAAATATGTATTGTTCGAAATCCATTTTTCAGTATTTGTCTATAAACGTGTTGTTGGATAATACAGGGTTTTGCTACTATAAATTATGCCTTCAAGACCATTTCTATAAATAAATTATTGACTATCTCTACCTATTTTCTTGGTATAGATTCCTATAAATGGACTGCTAGCTCATAGTAGATATGAATCCTTTTAAGGTTCTTGATTCACATTAATGAGTTGCTTTCCATAAGTCACATTAACATAAAAGTTAAATCAGTTCAAACCCCCAGAGCTATGTTTGAGAATTCTCCCTTCATGAAATTTGAAGAATTTGGGGCATTATTTTTTCAAATATATATACTTTTTTCTATTCTTTTCCTCCTCTTCTTTTGGGACTACATTTACTTGTATATTAGACAATGAGATATTGTACTGCAGATCCCTGACTGCTAATTTTTTTTAAATTTTCTTTATTTTTTATATTGAATAATCTCTATTGATGTATCCTCAAATTCATCAACTATCATGTTATTCAGAATGAATTTTAAAATTTTTAGACATTGGGTTTTTCAGTTTTAGAATTTCCATTTGGATCTTTGTTATAATTTCTGTTTCTCTGCTGTAATTTCCTATTTTATTTGTTAAAAGCCTATTCTTAAAATACTTAGCTGTTAACTCTAAAATTTGGGTCATCTTGGGGATTCGTATCCATTGATCAGCTTTTCTCTTGAGTATTGGTCATGTTTTTTTTGTTTCTTTGTATATTTAGTAATTTTGGATTGTTTCCTAGTCATTATGAGTTGAATTCAGTTAGATTCCTCTGAACAATGTTAATTTTTTGTGCTAGCAGGCAGTTATCTTGACTGAACTCACATTTCAAACTATCTCCCCTGAGTAAGTGGCAGTGAAAATCATTGGTGAGTTATTTTAAACTGTAACTGGATGCTTGAGTCTGCCCTGTTTATGTGTATGAAGTATAGGGTCAGCCAGAACTGGCAGGGTGGTTACATAGAATTGGAATCTTTCACTCTTTCTCTCTTCTCCTCTCCAGAATTTTTCCCTTTTCATTTGCTTTTGTTCTTTTAAGCAGGCCCTTCAGCTAAAGGCCACTAAAAATATAAATAAATAAAATAAAAAATTAGGGACTCTCCCAGTGACACTATCTTCTTTCAAATGCTGATCCTCATCTTGTTTCTGCTTTCATTTGGCCACTCTTCAGTGCTTCAGGTTTGTTTCGGTTTTTCTCCCAGAGTTTATAGTTGCTACCTAAGGAAGATTTGGTTCTATAGGAGCTACTCAAGCCGTTTTCAGAAGCAGAACCAAATAATTCTCCTTTTAGCACAATTTTGCCGTAGCTTATCTTTCTAATTGTGGTAAAATACACATAACATAAAATTTACCCTCTCAAGTATTTTTTGGCATACAGTTCACATTGTTGTCCAACCAATCTCCAGATCTTGATTATGTTGCAAAACAAACTATATACCCATTAAACTACTCCCCATTTCTCCTCTTCCCCCAGTTTCTGCTCTTTAGAGGCAAGAAGTTCTGATTCTTTTCTGTTTCCTCTTTTATCTGTTTTTTCTAGTATTTATATCCATATATCTGAATAACAGATTTATATGGGTACTAAGTGTTGACTTTCTCCTATGAAAGATGATAATTTAGCTTTCACAGATAACCATCTTATTTTCTCTTTTTCCCCTCCCTCCACTCCTTCTTCTCTTTTCTTCTCCCTCTTCCCCTCTGCCACTTTCTCTACCATACATATTGACACACATGCTATTTCCTTCTTTCTGTTCTTTCAATATAGCTATATTATAATACGCTTACAGTAAGACTGCAGATGTTTTATACACAGCTGGGCCATGTACTGTATGATTATTCCATTTAATTTTTATATAATGAATTGTTTCTCTACAGTTTAGAAATGCCTTATTTTCTGTGGACTCATTCATTTATTAATTCACTCAAATATTTATAGTTTCCCACCAGGCGCTTGGCACATTCTAGACTTTGGTAGATATAATAGTACACAAAACACAAAAATTTCTGGCCTTGTGCAACTTTTATTTTCATGTTTTTCATTCCCAAATTCATCCAGAAATTATAATTGTCTAAATATATCCAGACATATCAGTTATTCTATCATACCTCTTCATTGCTTTCATTTATTGCTATTTTTCACTCTTTCTTTTTCTTCTTTTTTTTTTTTTTCTTTTAGATATCCCTTCTGGATCTCTCCATAATCCTGCACTAGTCTGAATCAATTATTCTCTAGGCTTCCTGTTTAGGAATTTATGCTGAAATTTCCCTTATCCATCATCCTGGACATTTTCTTTACTTCTTTTCTGAGTATTTCCCCTTTTGTTGGATCACATGTTATCTGTCCTCATTTTGTTTCATACTCATCTTCCTGAAGCATGTCCTTCAATAGCTTACTGAGAAGGAGTACAGAGGCAATACTTTTTTGAGACCTCATACCTCTGAAAAAATGTCTTATGTCTAGATTCATATTTAATGTATAGTTTAGATGGATATAGAATTCTTACTTGGTTATTATTTTTCCTCAGAAGAGATTGAAGGTTGTGTTTCATTATCTTCTAATTTTTGTTGCCATTAACAAGTTTGGTGTAATTTAATTCTTTATCTTTTTTTTGTCTTAAGATTTTATTGGGGAATTGGAGGGGAACAGCATTGGGGAATCAGGGAAGGGAAACAGACAGGTAGACAAATTGGTATTTTGTTCTTCAGTCTAGTTGTGGAGGACGTTGCTTCACTGGCCAATGTTGGTATGATCATTGCGCTCTTTCTGGGTGAGGCAATCGGTCGCCAGTCATTGGTTGGTGGCTCACGGCATCTCTCCCCGGCTGCCAGCCGCTCACACTGGCTGCCAGCCACTCATGTAGCTCACAGCATCCCACTGCAGCCCCACTGCAGCCTACACCATTGCTGGCGACTGACAGCAACCCAACTCAAGGTCGAGCTGTTGTTCATCGTCTTAGTTGTAGAGGGCGCAGCGTCACTGGCCCTCATGGGGGATCTGAACTGTGGCCCTGCTGCTCACAGCTGGTGTTCCCAAGCGAGCTCTTAACCAACTGAGCCAATCGGCCGGCCACTTTATCTTTTTTATGTGAGCTATTTTCCATGGACACTATTAGAATCTTGTGTTTCTCTGCATTGTTCTAAAAATTAATGCCAGTGTGCATCAGTTGAATGTTTTTGCATTAATTATGCCAAGTAATCAATGGATTCTTTAAATTGGAAAAACTTCCTTCAGCTTAAGGAAATTATTTTTGTCAGTTTTCCTCATTTTTAATATTATTTTTATATTCTTTATTTCCAAAAGCCTATTAGTTAGATGTTGAATCTCTTGAAATCATCTCTTGTTTTCTTTTCTATCCTTTCATATCTGTTTTTGTTTTTTCTAATTTCTAAAAGATTTCCAGAACTTTATTTTTTCAACCTTCTACTCAATTTTCTACTGCTGTAATTTCTAAGAGCACTTTATTCTCTGAATGTCCTTTTTTAATACAAGAACCTGTGCTTATTTTATTTGTTTATTTTATTTTATTTTATTTTAAGATTTTATTGGGTAATTGGAGGAGGGTCACAACGTTGGGGAATCGGGGAAGGGGAACAAACAAGTTGCTATCCTTTTGTTCTTCCGTCTAGTTGTGGAGGACTTTGCTTCACTGGCCCATGTTGGTATTATCATTGCGCTCTTCCCAGGTGAGGCAGTCACTCGCCGGCCATTGGACAGCCGCTCACGGCAGCTCACGCCTGCCACTAATGGTAGCTTATGGCAGCCCACTGCAGCAGGGGCTGCAGCCGTTGCCATCGCTGGTGACTCATGACAGCCCAGCTTCAGGTCGAGCTGTTGTTCACCATTTTAGCTGTAGAGGGCGCAGAGTCACTGGCCGTCATGGGGGGTCCGAACTGGAGTCCTGCTGCTCAGAGCTGGCATCCCAAGCCAACTCTTAACCAACATGCCACTCGGCTGGCCCAACCTGTGCTTATTTTATATATACAATATTTTTTTTTATCTCTGAGGATATAAATAATAGATTTTAAAGTTTCTTTTTTTCTGGTGCATTGTCGCTCTTTTCACCAAATTTAAGTTTCTTTTTTTCACAAGTGTCTGATCCATTTATATTACAAAGAAAGTAGTGAAAAGCTATTGAAAGCTCTCAGTATAGATAAGCAGGGCTTGTCAGCTGATGGGCTTCACTGTGGGGTGATCAGGTAGGAATCAGGACCTATTGACCCTCTGTTAGTATCTGTAGGTCTTTTGTTTGGGGGGTGGTCAGTTTCCCTAGAGATAAATCATTTGCCTGAGTAGGAAGAAGGGATGGGAGCATCATGTAAGCTTGGCTGCCAATGTGGGTATCCCTGTGGAGGAAGAGGAATAGGTCCCAACACTCATTATGTAGGCTTTCACTTAATACGTCTTTTAACTGTGTGGTATTTCTGCCCTCAACTGTATTTTATGCCTACAAGACAGGAGTCATTCTGGTTCAATGTCCCCAGGGGAGTGAACGTCCAATCTTCTCAAGGCTGGGAGAGGTAGTTGACTGGCGCTAGAGGTAAAGGAGGGCATCTTGGATATTTTACTGCTCTACAGACTGTCAGCCAGCCATGCTTACAGTCCCA